GATTAGTCATGGACACTTCTCTGTAGTATATAAGGACTTCAGATTGCGTCCTCCCTCTTCAGTCTTTCCTTACTGACTGAAGAGTGAGTACTTCGTTATATCTACCTCTAACTTGTAGTTACTTACTTGATCCTTTGTAGTCTTGCTTCGACTCTAGGTACAGTTGGTTACTGCAATAAAGTCTTTCCTTACTGACTGAAGATCTTGCTTCGACTCTAGTCGGATCTAATCTTTGTCTTCACAGCCCCGAGTTTATCAACACCCCTCCGTGAGGTTCGCCATGCGTCAGTGGCCTGTTTCTGTAGTTCTGTCAGATGGGTCAGCTTTGCCTTGGTAGCGCTTATGGGGAGAGGGTTCCGTAGCAGTCGTGGGAGGGTGTCACAGCTGACGAGCTGTGCCACCAGATAAACAAAGACAAAGCTTACTGGTGAAGGGGTTGGTGCTGAGAGCGAAGCAACCACAAGTGACACAGCAAGAGATGATGCAAAGAAGTAGATTCCCTAGACTAGAAGGGGCAGTGAGAGGTAGGGCTGCTAGCTACCTACAGAGGAGATGGGTGATCAACGAGAAGATCAAGTCTGAGGTTCTCTGCCTCAGATCCCCTACTATTCATACAAATACAACGGTGCACAGACCAGGTACCTATTTGTCCCTGCTTGGTCAGAGTCCGCTGACTCATGTCCTGCCTCCTGACCTGTAACATGGTGTCCCCATGACTAACACCTGAGTCATGCTAAGTCCGGGCTTCCTCCGATGAGTAAGCGCCCCCTACAAGGTCCTGGGTTCGATCCTGGCTCCTCCACTTTCCGATACAAGTTGCCCGTGGTCAAGGTGAGCGTCTGTCCTGGTTCACATGACCCCCAGGTCACGTGGCACGAGAAAACTGTGACAGAGGGCCTTGGCTGCACTAGCTTTTTCTTTCGCTGCACGTTTTGCCTCTTTATCTGCAAGTTCATTGCCCTTGATTCCTAGATGTCCCGGCACCCAATGGAGGGCGAATGGTGCTGTCTGCGGAACCCTACCGGTCTTGAAGAGGTCTTCTACTCTGCAATGAAAGTAATTAGTAAGGTAGTGGCTAGGTCGTGGACTAATCTGTTGCATTGCCTCGATGGCGGACTTATTATCTAGGGCCACTGAAGGGCCCCCCACTGTTCCTCTTTCACGTCGTATAAGCTCTGTACCCAGGATGGAGCCGACGATCTCCACCTCGTAAATACCATGCGTGCTGGATGGTCCCAGGTGGTGTCGCAAAACCTTGTGACGTGTTGTGCCCTTCCTAAGCAGAATTGCAGCTGCCCCCACTTTTCCGCGCCGTTCTGAGCCGTCCGAGTAGACCAGTATCCTATGCTGTCTAGCCCAGGCCTCGTCGTCGTCCTCTGCTTGTTCCTTAGTTCTTGAAACGTGCGCCCATACCTTAGGCTGCCAGGATGGGTGTCGACGAACTGCCTGTACTTTCTCTATGTGATCCGCCTCTTCCGGCGTCACGTAGGCCTTAAAGAGTTCATGTAGGGCCGATCGGTGCCATTTGACGTAATGGTGTGTGTCACGAACCGCCCTCACGGCGCTATGTTTCCTTTTCGATTCGGACCACTGCCTCGTACGTTTCCTTATTGTTCACTACTCGCTACGGTTTCCCTTTGTCCAC